GTTTGTGCACCAGCTTCAAACAGCTGAAAATACAATATTGTTGGTTATGGAAAATATATTTCACAGTGTCACGCCCTGGCTCTGGGGACTCTTATATGTTGAGCCAGGGTGTTAGTTTCTATGTTAGTGTTCTATGTTCATGTTCTAGTTCATGTGTTTCTATGTTGGCCAGGGTGGTTCCCAATCAGAGGCAGCTGTGGCTTGTTGTCTCTGATTGGGAACCATACTTAGGCAGCCTGTTTTGCACTTGTCATTTGTGGGATCTTGTTCCGGAGAGGTTTGTGTTTGTTAACCTTAGGACTTCACGTATCGTTTTGTTGTTTTGTAATTGTTGTTTAAAGTACTCATTGAAAGATGTACGCATATCACGCTGCACCTTGGTCCGCTTCATATTCAGTCGACGATCGTGACAGAAGATCCCACCAAAGGAGGACCAAGCAGCATTTCCAGGAACAGACAGCCTGGACTTGGGAGGAGATCCTGGACGGGAAGGGATGCTGGACTTGGGACGAGATTCAGGCCGGAATGGATCGTCGTCCTTGGGAGGAGACTGTGGAGGCGCGCTACAGAGAGGAGCAGCGGCAACGCAGAGGGTACCGGCCGAGGAGGAAGCCCGAGAGACAGCCCCAAGATAATTTTTTTTGGGGGGCTAAAAGGGTGGTTGGCGGAGCCTAGAGGTAGATTAGAGCCAACTCCCCGTACTCAGGCTAGGGAGCGTGAGACTGGGCAGGCTCCGTGTTATGCGGAGCCACGTACTGTGCCGCGAGTGTTCCGGCACAGTCCTGTACGTCCTGTGCTAGCACCACGCACGTGTCGTGCTAAGGTGGGCATGCAGCCAGGACGGAGTGTGCCGGCTCAACGCTCGTGGCCTCCAGTACCCCTCCTCGGTCCCGGATATCCTGCACCAGTGCCACGTGCTGTGGCGCCAGTACGAGTGCACAGCCCTGTACGTCCTGTGCTGATGCCTCACACATATTGTGTGGAGATAGGCATTCAGCCAGGACGGGTTGTGTCAGCTCTCCGCTCCAGACCTCCAGTCCGCCTCAACAGTCCGGCCCGGCCCGTTCCTGCTCCCCGCACCAAGCCAATGGTGCGTGTTCCCAGTCCAGCCCGGCCTGTTCCTGCTCCCCGCACCAAGCCCATGGTGCGTGTTCCCAGTCCAGCCCGGCCTGTTCCTGCCCCTCGCACCAAGCCAGTGGTGCGCGTCGCCAGCCCGGCCCGGCCTGTTCCTGCCCCTCGCACCAAGCCAGTGGTGCGCCTCGCCAGCCCGGCCCGGCGTGTTCCTGCCCCTCGCACCAAGCCTGTGGTGCACGTCGCCGGCCCGGCCTGTTCCTGCCCCTCGCACCAAGCCAGTGGTGCGCGTCGCCAGCCCGGCCCGGTCTGTTCCTGCCCCTCGCACCAAGCCAGTGGTGCGCGTCGTCAGCCCGGTCCAGCCTGTCCATGCTCCCCGCACCAAGCCAGTGGTGCGCGTTGCCAGCCCGGTCCGGCCGGTTCCTGCTCCCCGCACCAAGCCTGTGGTGCGCGTCGCCAGCCCAGTCCGGCCGGTTCCTGCTCCCCGCACCAAGCCTGTGGTGCGCGTCGCCAGCCCGGCCCGGCCTGTACCTGCTCCCCGCACCAAGCCAGTGGTGCGTGTCGTCAGTCCGGCACAGCCCGTGCCTGTTCCACCGGTGCCTGGTCAGGTACCAGTCAGCTGCTCCACACCGGAGCCTAAGCAATCCGCTCCACCGATGTCCAGTCCAGCTCCAGCCAGTGGGACCAGACCAGGGGCGCTACGGGGGGGTAGCTAGAGAGTGGTGGTCACGCCCGGAGCCGGATCCGCCTCCGAGGCGGAATGCCCACCCGGCCCCTCCCATGTTGGGTTTAGTTGGCGCGGTCGCAGTCCGCGTCTTTGGGGGGGGGTACTGTCACGCCCTGGCTCTGGGGACTCTTATATGTTGAGCCAGGGTGTTAGATTCTATGTTAGTGTTCTATGTTTATGTTCTAGTTCATGTGTTTCTATGTTGGCCGGGGTGGTTCCCAATCAGAGGCAGCTGTGGCTTGTTGTCTCTGATTGGGAACCATACTTAGGCAGCCTGTTTTGCACTTGTCATTTGTGGGATCTTGTTCCGGAGAGGTTTGTGTTTGTTAACCTTAGGACTTCACGTATCGTTTTGTAATTGTTGTTTAAAGTACTCATTAAAAGATGTACGCATATCACGCTGCGCCTTGGTCCGCTTCATATTCAGTCGACGATCGTGAAACACAGCGGTTTAGATGGTACAATGATTCTCTACACTGTTTTGTCACAAACTGAAATTAGGCAAACTAGTAGAATTTTAGCAACCAGGAAATGTCGGACCGATTTCTGCATAGTGCACCTTTTAAGTAATACAAACAGTTATGTCGGTGACAGTAATGTCTGCTCTGGGACATATGGGCAGTTCTTGAACTCAGACTCGTTGACCCCAATTCACTATCCCCCAGAGATGGTCCCTATATTAACTTTTTCTTTAACCTCTTCAGCCCGAGGTTCCCCATATCCGGGGTACTCCTCCTGCAATCGCAAACAATGACGTAGTACGGTTTTTAAACATGTGTGAATAACTGAATGTTATACACTACTGGAACGAGAAGCGTCTCAACTGTGAATCTAGCTAAACTGTTGTTGCCCAAATGAAAAAATATTCAGATTCCAAGCAAATATATAAGCATATAGCAAAACCAGTCCTGTATTTTGAAACCGTGCATGCCTGTATATTCGTAGACAGAACTTATTTTTCTCAACCTATCTACACAAACGATACACCATTTGAAAGCTGCTACCTCACAGATTCCAACAGTGATAGCCGTGTTCCTCTATGACCAACGCTCACTAAACTATTAATCAAAGAACGTCAATAACAAACATTCAATTGTTTTTATCACAACAACGAACTGCGTCTTACCTTTGTTTTTTTTGTTACCAAAAGTAGTGTCTGATTGAATAAAACCACTTGAAAAGATTGTCTAGTGTCTCTCTCTCATTCCGTGTCGATTTGAATGAGTTTACATCGTTTTACATGGCCAACAATGTGTTTGAAGATTGTGCTCATTTAATTCTACTGATCCAGAGCTTTCGATAGAGGGGCCACACGTCAAAATCGACCAACCGGTTGTTGAAATATCCAAGTGCGCACCTCATTGTATCATATTAGTTGACTTGCTGCATTACGAATGGTTACGGAGAGCGCACAACAGCACTTGAATTTCGGAGGGGAAACGCAAAGTTTATAAAAATATGGCAGGCTCTAGTAACAAATATACAGTTACAGAGGCGTTATTAATTGTAACAGATGAAAGTTGGACTCCATGAATCCCCATTGACTCTGAATCGGACGATGAGGACCTGCTTAGACCGGACGAACCAGACCCCAATGACGAGAACGAAGGTTATCGTGTCCATGGCCCTACTCAAGCATCAGAAGAGTATGTAATCCCATTGTTATTTATTACTTCTATTACTACTATTACTAATTTATTGTATGAGTACAAAACATACATTCTAAAATATATATTTGAGTAACTGAAGCTCAATGTAAGTTAGCGCTAGCTTAGCTTAGAGGCCCACACGCAGGTTTACTTACAATAGAATGCTATGTGTATTATTTCTTGTCACTGAGTTATCACTTTAGTCAACATTCTCAAAGTTCTAACTATTTATTTTATATATCTGACTGTTTTCAGTCAGATTTGTCAATGAATGAATACAAGTGTGTTTTAGTCATGATTTCTTTTTCTCTTTTGTCTTGTTTGCACAGTGAATATGATTATAGGGGTGATGAGCCACAGCCAGAGCATCTGCCTCCTCAGCCACAACTTCCCCTTCCTCAGGCAGAGCCTCCTCTTCGTCAGCCTGGCCGCTTGTCTAGACAATGCACTTCTGCTCCCCTACCTCGGCCACGGTCTTCATCGGACACTGAGTCCCCTGTAAAGAGCCCTCAACCCAAAAGAAAAGGGAAAGCTTTCTCAAAGTCAGTGCATCAAAGTAAGCGTGGTGGAGGTAGGCCTGCCACTCCAAGAGTCGGGGAGGAAGAAGAGGAAGAAGAAGATAGGTGGCATAATAGAGAAGAGAATGATGAACGACCAGACCCAATCCGGTTTATGCCCACCAGAGTCCCAGGCCCCACAATCGACACCACTGCGTCATGGTCTCCCCTTTCACTCTTTCAACTGTTTTTTAGCACTTCGGTTGTCCGCACAATAATTTGCAACACTAATGCAAATGCTGCCAAAAGACTGCAGTCCGGACTGAAATTCGCTTGGATACCACTAACGATGAGAGATTTTTACATTTTCCTGGCAATTCTGCTATACTCAGGGCTTGTCTCTGTACACGAGAGGGGCACCTGCTGGAGGAAGGAATGGCCACTTAATTTCCGCTTCCCTGGAGACAATATGACACAAGACCGTTTTGAAGCAATCATGTGGTCACTGCACTTGAGCAAACCAGAAGACGATGAAGCCAACAACACTAAAAAAGGCACTGCAGAATATGATATACTTTTCAAGATCAAGCCCCTGTACACTGAGCTTACCAATGCCTGCAAATCACATTTCCAGCCATACCAAAACATCTCCATAAACGAAAGGATGGTGGCATCCAAGGAAATATATGAAAGCAAAGCCCACTAAGTGGGGGTATAAATTATTTGTACTGGCTGACTGTCATACTGCTTATAAATTGATTTTTTTTGTTTATGAAGGCAAGTGTGTTCACACCAGGCCAGGGACTAAGCTACACTTCAGTTATGGACTTGATGCCATTCCCTTTACTTGGTGGGGGCTATACACTTTTTGTAGACAATTTCCATTCTAGCCCTGCCCTTTTTGAGGAACTATGTAGAAGAAACACTGGTGCCTGTGGGACAATTAGAATGAACAGGATTGGTTTCCCACAAACCAAAAGGAACAACCTGCCAAAAAAAGCAGAAAGGGGAGATTTGCGGTGGATACGCAAAGGAAATGTATTATTTGTAAAATGGATGGACACACGTGAGGTAACCATGTGCTCTACTGTACATGAAGCATTTAGTGGACAAACTGTCAAAAGGAAGGTAAAAGAGGGTGGTGTATGGCAGACTAAAACTGTGCCCGTCCCAGATGCGGTAGCCAACTACAACCGGAGCATGGGTGGAGTGGATTTATCCGACGCATTGATTGGATACTACAGTGTTCACCACAAGACGATGAAATGGTATGAGACTTTTCTTTTTCATTTTGTTGATATTGCTGTTAAGAACAACCCCACTCAGCCGTACACACAGAAGAAGTTCAGGAAAAAGCTACTCACAGAAATGGTGAGCTTTGCTAAACAGTCTGAACCACAACCTCCACCACGACCACCACCAACATCCTGGTGATGATGCCAGCAAAGACAGGAAGAACTGAAGGAGATGTTTGGATGTTGGCATCCCCAAAGTGAAAACCCCTGTGTACTGCAGGAAGTGCCAAGTCCCTTTGTGCCTTACATCAAAGCGTAACTGTTTCAAGGATTGGCACGACAGCGAGGGTAAAAAGGGTCTAATTTTGTGTGACAACCCACCCAAGGACACCATATCATTGTTTATAGTTTTGGGATGTGTGGACTTTTTGTTTTTAAATTTGTTGTTTATAGTTTCTAATAAATCTGCTCAGTTTGGAGTCAAACTTTCCCATTGTATGGTTTATTTTAATGGGAACACGTATAGAGGTCTGGCAGAACATTGGAAACAACATCAAAATAGTTGTATTTTGATGGAATATACACATATAGTGATATGTTAGTGAAATTAAATGACTTTTGCTGTCTGGTACCTTATAGAAGTCAAATGGCACAGATGGTGCCCAAATCTACCCAAATGTCTCCATTTGGTAATCCGCCTAAACATACTTCAACTAAAACCCCTACAACTTTGGTTTACTTTACTTTATTGGCATCAAACTACACATAAGTACTCATCAGATATTGGGCTATGGCCCCATAGTGTTTAGGGGCTGCAGCTGCATAAGTCCAATAAAGCATTCCCTATAAAACCTGAAGTTACTTTCAGGCGGAATCAAAACCTCCCAATTTATGCTGTGTTCTAGCTTCATGTACACAGTAATACCCACATTAATTATTTCACTTCAAGATACATCTCACATGTGTTACCTTTCTTTTGCTACCAAGATTATGTTTATAGCACCTGTCGTTTTGAAGATATACTCTATTCAATTTCGGCATGCATTTTCGAGGCAGGAACTTTAGCCAGGTGCCTAGTGATGAAGAGGTTAAGCCATTTCTCATTGGTTTGAGATGGTATTTCACTTGATTACAGATGTTATTGACACTTCTCCGTCTGACCCTTGACCCAACGAAAATAATCTAATTAAATTGAGAGCGAGAAAAAATAGATATGGCCTTTGATTAATCTAGCGTCAGTTTGTCTTCTCTGGGGCTTTCCAGAAAGAATTATCAGCAGTGGCGACAATGGTAGTTATATGTCACCATTTAATTAACTGTCTACCATAACAATATCAAGAATTTTGTCTGAGAGTGGTCTAAGCGGGGAGGGGAGAACTGAAAACTAGCTGTTATTGGCAGAGAGGTTTGGAACTCTCTTTCTTATTGGTCTATTAACTAATTTACCGTCTGGTGATGTCACCAGGCATGCCAAAACTCCATCTCACCAAAACAGGCTGAAATGTCAGGTGGTCTTTTCAAACAGCTCTTACACTAAAATGGCATTATCATAATTTTCACAATTTCACAGTATTATTCCAAACTCATAGTGTGGAAATATATACAAAACACAGAAAAATCACGTTTTTGTATTTGTATTTGTATTTATACATTTAGCAGACGCTAGTGACTGCACTAGGCCTTTAATCCACCTTTTTCAATAAATACGCAGGTAATTGCTGTGCTATTATGGCTCTTTGCATAAAAATAGAAAATAATATAATTATAAAATCAATGATTAATTACATTGTTAGTAGTAGTAATAATAATACATGGGACTTATACAAAGGACCCAAAGTCGCTTTACAATTGTAGAAAAATAAAATTAAATTAAAAAATTAAAAAAAAAAACTTTACTCAGTACTTTGTTGAACACCTTTGGCAGCAATTACAGCCTTGAGTCTTCTTGGGTATGACGCTACAAGCTTGGCACTCCCATTCTTCTCTGCAGATCCTCTCAAGCTCTGTCAGGTTGGATGGGGAGCATCGCTTCACAGCTATTTTCAGGTCTCTCCAGGGATGTTAGATCGGGTTCAACTCCGGGCTCTGGCTGGGCCACTCAAGGACATTCAGAGACTTGTCCTCCTGCGTTGTCTTGGCTGTGTGCTTAGGGTCGTTGTCCTGTTTGAAGGTGAACCTTCGCTCCAGTCTGAGGTCCTGAGCGCTCAGGAGCAGGTTTTCATCAAGGATCTCTCTGTACTTTGCTCCGTTCATCTTTCCCTCAATCCTGACTAGTCTCCCAGTCCCTGCCGCTGAACAACATCCCAACAGCATGATGCTGCCACCACCATGCTTCACCGTAGGTATGGTGCCAGGTTTTTTCCAGACGTGACACTTGGCATTCAGGCCAAAGAGTTCAATCTTGGTTTCATCAGACCAGAGAATCTTGTTTCTCATGGTGCGTGAGTCCTTTAGGTGCCTTTTACTGAGGAGTGGCTTCTGTCTGGCCACTCTACCATAAAGGCCTGATCAGTGGAGTGCTGCAGAGATTATTGTCCTTCTGGAAGGTTTTCCACAGAGGAACTCTGGAGCTCTGTCAGTGACCATTGGGTTCTTGGTCACCTCCCTGACCAAGGCCTTCTCCCCTGATTGCTCAGTTTGGCCGGGCGGCCAGCTCTAGGAAGAGACTTGGTGGTTCCAAACTTCTTCCATTTAAGAATGATGGAGGCCACTGTGGTTCTTGGGGACCTTCAATGCTGCAGCCATTTTTTGCTACCCTTCCCCAGATCTGTGCCTCGACACAATCCTGTCTCGGAGCTCTACGGACAATTCCTTCAACCTCATGGCTTGGTTTCTGCTCTGACATGCACTGTCAACTGTGGGACCTTTATATAGACAGTTGTTTGCCTTTCCAAATCATGTCCAATCAATTGAATTTACCACAGGTGGACTCCAATCAAGTTGTAGAAACATCACAAGGATGATCAATGGAAACAGGATGCACATGAGCTCAATTTCGAGTCTCATAGCAAAGGGTCTGAATACTTATGTAAATGATGTATTTCTGTTTTTGTGTTTGTAATACATTTCTAAAAACCTGTTTCCGCTTTGTCATTATGGAGTATTGTGTGAAGATAATACATTTTAGAATAAAGCTGTAATGTAACAAAATGTGCAAAAAGTCAAGGGGTGGAATACTTTCCGAATGCATTGTACATCAGATTTGACACCATTTGTCTTTGATTGCTCCCTGCTACTGCTGACCCACTCCCCACTCTGTTTTAACTCACACAGCACATTCACACTGGAAATAGAGGGTGAAGAAGAAAAAATAAAATATTGTATGCACACTAAAGATGTGCTCAGCATACGTGTCTCTGAAACAGCGTGAATTGGATTACCTTCTGAAAAATTTGTTTAATTCAAGCTGCACCTGGCCCCTTTTGAAATGCCATCATTTAATATTAGGGAGCTCGCATCGACTAATTGATCTTGAGCAAGGTGCTATGCATGCATGCAAGCCACACACACCAACATCGACACACACACACACACACACACACACACACACACACAGTGGTGTAGTGGCTCCTTGTCAAGGGGTGCTGAAGGTGGGTGTGGTGCATGAATCAAGCGCAGGACGCAGAAGCTCAGTCCAAAAGACTTTAGTGCAATATTCACGTAGAAAATAAGCACAATAAGCCTGAAGGCGAAATAACGGCGCACACAGGCGTCAAACAAACGGTGCACTAACATGTGTGAAAAACCTCTCCAAAACACTGGAGGGAAGTACGTAGCTCCAACACGAAACAGAAGAGCAATCACACACAAAGACAAACACACACAACGAGAACTAAATAGGACACTAACGAGGACTAACAAGACACAGGTGTACAACATCAAGACAAAACCAAACGAACATGAAACATAGATCGGTGGCAGCTAGTACTCCGGGGACGACGACCGCCGAAGCCTGCCCGAACCAGGAGGAGGAGCAGCCTCGGCCGAAACCGTGACAGAGGGACACCTGTCTCTAGTCTATTTTGCCATTACCTTATGGAATACAATTATTTCCTTATGGAGTTATTAAGAGTTGTAATTCTAATTTTATTTGTTTTTCTAATTTGTTTGGTTTTGATTTAACAGGCAGTGTTGTTGTTTTTTTGGACACATGAATCACGATGTGAGCTGTATAAGGCCATAAATCAACAGGAAAACGCTCATCCAGATGCAGCGCTCCTAGTGGCCGGGGACTTTAGTGCAGGGAAACTTAAATCCATTCTACCTAATTTCTACCAGCATGTTAAATGTGCAACCAGAGGGAAAAAAAACTCTAGACCACCTTTACTCCACACACAGAAACGCATACAAAGCTCTCCCTCGCCCTCCATTTGGCAAATCTGACCATAACTCTATCCTCCTGATTCCTGCTTATAAGCAAAAACTAAAGCAGGAAGCACCAGTGACCCGGTTAATAAAAAAGTGGTCAGATGACGCAGATGCTAAGCTACAGGACTGTTTTGCTAGCACAGACTGGAACATGTTCCTGGATCCTTCAGATAGCATTGAGGAGTACACCACATCAGTCACTGGCTTCATCAATAAGTGCATCGATGATGTCATCCCCACAGTGACCGTACGTACAAACCCCAACCAGAAGCCATGGATTACAGGAAACATCCGCACTGAGCTAAAGGGTAGAGCTGCCGCTTTCAAGGAGCGGGACTCTAACCCGGACGCTTATAAGAAATCCCACTATGCCCTCCGACGAACCATCAAACAGGCAAAGAGTCAATACAGGGCTAAGATTGAATCGTACTACACTGGCTCTAACGCTCGTCGGATGTGGCAGGGCTTGAAAACTATTACAGACTACAAAGGGAAGCACAGCCGTGAGCTGCCCAGTGACACAAGACTTCCAGATGAGCTAAACCACTTCTATGCTCGCTTCGAGGCAAGCAACACTGAAGCATGCATGAGAGCACCAGCTGTTCCGGATGACTATGTGATCACGCTCTCCGTAGCCGATGTGAGTAAGACTTTTAAGCAGATCAACATTCACAAGGCTGCAGGGCCAGACGGATTACCAGGCCGTATACTCCGAGCATGTGCTGACCAACTGGCAAGTGTCTTCACTGACATTTTCAACATGACCCTGACTGAGTCTGTAATACCAACATGTTTCAAGCAGACCACCATAGTCCCCGTGCCCAAGGACTCTAAGATAACCTGCCTAAATGACTACCGACCCGTAGCACTGACGTCTGTAGCCATGAAGTGCTTTGAAAGGCTGGTCATGGCTCACATCAACAGCATTATCCCAGAAAACCTATTTGCATA